CGGGCGAGATGGCAGCGGCGGCGATCGCGTGGGTCAGCCCACCGGCTGCGGCGGCGGCGGAGAAGGCGGCGGGGTTGTCGCCTTTGGCCATGGCGGCGCCGGACGGCAGGGGGCGGCGGCGGCCGGGCGGACGGGCGCGGACGGGCGGGAAAGGAAAGGTACTGGCGGTTGCGCGTTCGCGGGCGGCGGCTGGTTTTGGACCAGATGCACCCCGTGATGTAAATTTGCACCGTGAGGTGTTGTATTTTACATCACGAGGAGGCCGCAGTCCAATTTTTTTTACATATGAACCGTCTGTTGGAGCAGCGTTTTTTGTCCCAGACAGTCCAAAACTTAGGTATTTTTACATTTGGCCGTCTATTGGAGATGCTCTTACACCCACATCTCACGCAACACTATATATCAAATATTATTCAACTTTCTCTTGGATGTGTGTGCATGTGGTAAAACGTACGGGTGCTCACTTAAAAAAACGTACGGGTGCTGATCACAAGAGTTCGAATAGATAAATATATTAGTTTATAGTACCCAAAATTAAGCCATCACGAAACCTTATACATGATCACTTATTTGGCACAATACGGTCACGTGAAAACAAAAGTTTCAGCGAACAATGATTGAAGCTGTGTGCTTGAGAGCCTTGATAATGAGACACTCGTTGGTGTGTTAGAAAGTTACTCTAGAATCATGTTGTCGTTACATACCTTTCACTCCCTAATCTCTTTTTTCATTGCCCAAAGAAAGAAAAACTCTTCGGTGCATTCCCAGCAAACAAGTGTGTTAACTAGAGGAAAATCTCATCGACCGCAACTTCTTGTATCAAGTCCTCTTCTTCCTTCCTTCCTTCACCTGTTGTTGAGGAACACCGCGCCGCAGGCTATGATGACGATCACGCCGCGCACCCCCTGCATCCCCATCGGCATTTCGCCAATTAGATTAGCAAGTCAAATCAATGCCAGACAGATAAAGAGGGAAGAGGTCAAACACTCGCCTGGTTGATCAGCCACCCATTTAGAGCCGGGAATCCGTCAGATCGCTGCCGCTTAGAGCCCACCGCGTCGTCGTTGCTCATGCCCTGCCCGCGAGTTCATGATGTCAGTCAGTCAGGATGAAGCACGCACCAACAGTTTAACACCACTAACTAATTATCTGAGTTCTCGCACTTCTTCAGTGTCTTCTTCCCTTGCGCTCTGCTGTGCATTCTTCATCGAATTCAGGTGCTCAAGCCCGACGAGGTCTTTCAGCTGCCTGCTCGCGGTGGTGATGCAGATGTGGGGGTGGCCGGTCCAGGCAATGCTAGATGTCGCGCCCGGATGCATTGGAGCGATGGCGCGACGATGATGCTTTTGCTTGTCTGCACTCTCCCCAATGCTGCTCGTCTTGGCTGCTCTGTCGCGCCTGCTGGAACTCCGTCTTCTGCTCTCCTGAGCATTCAACAAATCCCCCTGTCTAGACGCGCTTGGTTTCTTGTTGATGATGTGCCTTCCTAACCGCGACTCGGAACCTATATCACCAGAAGTAACGGTCACTTTGCCAGATGACTTGTCTGGAGGACTGGTGGAAGCCGATAGCATCCCTTCCAACGACCCTTCCGACTTGATCCTTGGCACTGAAGGCGGAGCCTGCAACCCATGATAGAATCAGTGTTTCATTTCCCATAATGTGAGAGCCGGAAATTATGCAACAGAGAGACCAATATTTTCACTGTATAAAGGTGGGTTCAGGTTCAGAAGAACCTGCGAAGAGCCGCTCTCGAAGGCACTGATCATCTTCTTCACCGCGCTGCTTGACCTGCTCTCCAGTTCACCCTTCCCTCTCTTAGAGCCAATGTCACTTTTCGGCGGTAGACCCTTTATGTCAATGGCGCCTTGAGATGTCGAAGTTTGCAACGGCGGGTTCTTTGGAGCCGCCATATTCGTATCATTGCTTATTTCGGAAAAGACAGCCTTCCCTTTCAGATCATCCATCGACATGCTCTTCCGGAGCATGAGTGGGTCTTCTTTGCTTGGGATGTCGGAGATCTCTTCTGCCTGCTCTTTAGGTGGTGTGCTGTCTGGTAGAATTCGAAAAAGAAAGAAAAGTCCCACATGTCGGTCATGTCAACTGAATATTTTGTCATTAACTGATATCATAAACCAGCATTCAGAATGCAGAGACCGAAATTTAAGAAAAACTAACGCATGAATTTGTATGTTCTGAACCTTTTGGTTAGGGGGCAAACTGACACAGACACGCACCCTAGTGCTTGTTACAATCTGTTCCATGGAACTCCAAATGTGTGCTTGCAGTGCAACACAAACTGTAATGAATATTATTACCTTGGAAATAAAGTTCATCGCCATTCCCAAACAGCTCTTGCTGCTTTCTTTTCATCGCGGAGTTCCTCTGAATAAAAGGAAATAGTATAAACATGAGTAGTATACCTTAACTTAAGATGAACCTTTCAAGCAAGATGTTTTCTGAGTTTTCATGCAAACTGTATGAACCATAAAACTGGCATGTTACCATTTCTTGGATGCGCTTGCGATCTTCATCACTAAGCAAGAACTGCAACTGGAGAATAATTTGCCCTCCACTATCAAGGCTAAACACAACATCCGTACTCCCCAGCTCGACAATCGACCGTGTCTTCACTTCTGTTGTGATTTACATGAAACCATAATGCACATCACCAGCTGATACGTGTGCTGATGATAAATACGTATAAGATAAGCTTATCATAACAAACTAACAGAAGAAACCTGTTTTGGATACCAATTCCTTATCTGCATCGTACAGCGACAACACCATGCTATCACGAAGTGATGTAACTGGACTGCACATACATAATATCTTTGGTGTGAGATAGCTTCAAAGTTTTCCTTGGGGCCACAATAAGCGCAGCCTCGACGCACATTTTGTGGAAATGGAGAGGTGAACAGAGAACAAAAATCAGTGAAGGCGGTACGGAAATGGGCTTACAAAGAGAAGCCATCTTGTCCTATATATCCGCTGTACTCTTTTTTCCCAGGTTAACTGCATACAAAAAAACGATGTTTACATACGAACGATGACATTAGCCAACAGAAAACGAAGAAACAGGAAAAGTAGAGTGGAATCAGAAGGCAGCAGCCAACCTTGCAAGAAGAGTGGCGCGGCGACCGGTGGCTGAATGTCTGCACAGCAAAAGATAGAGCAGTATGATCTCTTTTTCTTTTTGACGAGACGCAGCAGCGACGCTGCTTTTCATTCAGTAAGAGGAGAGCATTAATTATGTTTTGTTCGTATCTTTTTACAGGAAGAAGAATAAATAAATATTTGCAGATGATAAGAGAGAGGGATAAACTTGCCTGAGACTCGGATGCTGCCCGGCATGGTTCGGTGGTGCGTAGAAGCCCTCCAATATAATTCTGATCTTGGAGACTGGGGAAGGAGGAGGAGCAGCAGCTAAGCTAGTGGATGTTGTTGAAGGCAGCCTGGATGTGTGGCTGTGTGTAACAACCACTAGCAAGGCCTCCTTGGACCAGTGGAAGAGCTAATTTTTGTCCCCTGCTAGCTGTTGCTATCACAAAAATGTACGCTCACACTCATACAGACACTGACAGGTTACACCGGGTTGCAAGGTCTAAACTGAATGAATGAAATTTTAAGCTCACACTCATACAGCAGTTTCAGTAACCCTATTTACCTTTTATTACTGACAGTTAGTGAATTTTCAAAGCTTCCACTAATATTCCAAGAGCTAAAATGTTGAGGTACCAGAACAAGTGGAAATTCTGGAGCGGTTTCATCGATCTGGTTGGTGCTGCTTGGAACTCGCAGTTCAATCAAACTGAAGCAGCAGCGGTGCGATTGCTGCCAAACTGAAAAGGCTCCCCCGCAAAAAAAGGAAAAAGAGTCTGAAACACGTTGAAGTTCCTGGAGTGGATTGAGGAGGAGCGGCAACTAACCATGCTTGAAGAGAATCCTTTTTCAGGAACAACCGCACAATGGCAGCTTGGGAGATGAACATACTACAAGATTATACCATTCTAGAGCTTGAGAAATACAAGATTAAAGTGTACCGAATTACTCTCTCGTGATGCGAAACAAAAAACAAAAAAAACTGCGAGTTCAGAATTCAGATTGAGGCAAAGGATTGGGTCCATAATTGCTCCATCGTCGACCCCCAAGATTTCGCCTTTTCTTTGTCCAATGTAATACTGCAGCTGACAAGAGAGTCACCCTTTCTTAGCAACGAACTTGAGCAGCCAAGCAGACGAAAAATTGACATTTAGCGAGGATCGATCAACTTGTTAGACGAAAAAGAAAAGAAGCAACAGACTTAACTAACGAAACTGAAACTAGTGAAGATTCTGACGAAACTGAACCGCGACGAGGACGAGCTTAACACTTACACTCGCCTCCTTAAACATGTTGAGCTTTGGTGACGACTCTTTTTAACACCCATGCGCTCCCGCAGCTCCTGGAACTTCATCTTCCTCCGGATGTCAGCAAGCTGATTCTAGGCACTGACGTGTTCCGTTCCGCTGCAACGGGAGAGCTTGTTCGATCTAAGTGCTAACGCGTGTCAATACGCTTGCCGCGCTCATGATCAACAGGGTTCCTGCAGCTTAGCTGACTTGCAGACTGATTATCAACCCACCATCAGATCAGCTAACAATCTCCCAAACCACAGTACCACACACCTTGGCGGCAGGCAATACATTCGGCCTCGCAAGAGGAAATCAAACTTTCTCCAAGGTGAAAAACACCTCTTTCTTTCTATCATCAAGGTCGATCTCCGGCCAAATCACTGTCGCTGTACCCGTGCAGCTTCAGAGATGATAAGCAGCCGGCAGACCATGGAAGTAAGCGCATGCTCCCAGATGTTAGAGTTATAATATAAGTCATGTACCCCTTTTGTATTTATCCCGTTGTATGAGGGATTTCCTGCATATGTTCCACACCTGTACATGTATATATATATCGGCCTATGGCCTCATGGGAATACAAGTTGCTTATTCCTAACATGGTATTAGAGCTAGGTCAATTTTTTGCACGCCGCAACTCGTGCTGATTGATCCGCCTCGCAACGCCACCGTCCTCTGTGGCCGTCACTCCGTTCTCCGTCGCCGCCGTGTGGATCGCCAGGCTGGGCCGCTGCCTTCGCTCCCGCCCGTGCGATTCCCTCTCCTCCTGATCGCGTCCACACCGTGCTCCCTGATCCGAATCAAGCCGCCAGCCGTTCCCCTCGCTGGATTCTACCGCCGTGATTTCCCTGGTTCTGATCCAGTCGCCGGCGTTATCTCCAGCGGACGGCCGCCCGCCCGATCCGGTCGCTCCATTCTATCCATCGCGCGCCACAGCCGCCGCTAGCCCCGTCCGATCCAGCAGCCGGCCAAGTAAATTCACGTATATGTCATCTACGTCTACGTGTTTGTTGCTTGAGAATCCATCAGGTTTGGTCTAGCTAGCTTTGCACTTCGCGTGCACAGCATCGCTAGCCCCGCGCGCTACAGCCGTCGTTCGCCAAGCCCCGCTCGCCAGCCCCGCGCACTTCGCCAAGTCTAGTCGGTTCCAAAAAAAAATGTCTGTTGCATTGGGCTATGTTGCTGTCCCTCGCTGTCCGGTGATCTTTGATGGTACTAACTACACCGAGTTTACTGGCTTCATGCGCATTCACATGCGTGGCATCCGTCTTTGGGGTGTTCTTTCTGGCGAGGTCTGCTGTCCGCCACGTCTAGTTCCTCCGGTGGCCCCTACTCCGCCAACTCCATCGGTTCTTCCTACGGATGCTAATCAGGCCGCCAAGGATGCGGCTAAGCTTGCTGATGAGGCTGATGATCGTGCTTATGATGAGAGGGTTTTGGCTTATGAGGAGGCTCTTCAGACGTATCATGGTGCTCTGTCTGTTTACACCCAGTGGCTTGATGATGATGCTCGTGCTGCAGCTGTTCTCACTGCTAGTGTTCTGCCTCCGTTTGCTTCTGAATTTCTGGGTCTTCCTACTGTCTTTGAGATGTGGACCCGTCTTCGTGAGCGCTATCAACCCTCTGGTGATGCCTTATACCTCTCTGTGATCCGTCAGGAGCATGCTCTTCAGCAGGGTGACTCTACTGTTGATGACTTCTATGCACAGAGTTCTGCTATCTGGCGCCAGCTTGATTCTCTCCGTAGTGCTGGGTGTCGTACCTGCCCCTGTTGCCAGGTTGTCCAGGCCAATTTGGAGTTTCATCGCGTCTATGAGTTCTTGTCTCGGCTCCGTAAGGAGTTTGAGCCCCGGCGTGCTCAGTTGTTTGCTCGTGGCCGTATTTCTCTCATGGAGGCGCTTTCTGAGATTCGTGCTGAGGAGACTCGCTTACGTGGTGCTGGTTTGCTGGAGGTTTCCTCTGTGCTTGCTACTCGTGCTCCTACGCCACCTGCTCCATCGACCACTTCTCGCTCGAGTGCTCCGCCGCTCTTGCCCACTCCTTCTGGAGGCTCAGGTCGCCCCCGTCCACATTGCGCCTATTGCAACAATGATGGTCATCTTGAGTCTCAGTGCTACACGAAGAAGAAACACCTGCGCAAGGCTCGATCATCATCTTCAGGGACTTCGTCATCTACCTCGACAGCTTCAGCCATTGCTTTGACTGAGCAGGATATTCTGAGACTTAAGCGTCTGCTCGCGGCTTCAGGTTCTTCCTCGACGGGTACTGCCGGTTCTGTGACTGATGCTTCCCGTACTGAGCAATCACCCTCTACACAGTCAGGTACATCCCCATGGGTTCTGGACTCTGGAGCTTCTTTTCATATGTCTTCTCATTCCTCCACTTTGTCCTCTCTTCGATCACTGGATTCTCCTATTCATGTCTTCACTGCTGATGGTACTCCACTTTCTGTTGCTAGTAGAGGCAATCTTACTACTCCTTCTTATTCTGTTCTTGATGTTGTTCATGTTCCTCGACTTACCATGAATTTGTTTTCTGCTGGTCAACTTACGGATTCTGGTTGTCGCGTCATCCTCGACGTTGACTCTTGTTCTGTCCAGGACCGTCACACGCACACTCTGGTTGGGCCTGGCCCTCGCCGCCGTGATTCTCAGGGTCTTTCGGAGTTGGACTGGCTTCATGTTCCTTCTGCTGCCACCACCATCGCCAGTTCTTCCGCTTCTGTTGCCTCCGTCACTGGTTCCTTCCAGCAGTGGCATCATCGACTTGGTCATCTGTGTGGTTCTCGGTTGTCTTCTTTAGTTCGTCGAGGCCTTCTGGGGTCTGTCTCAGGAGATGTCTCTTTAGAGTGTCAGGGTTGTCGTCTTGGCAAGCAGATTCAGTTACCATATTCACATAGTGAGTCAGTGTCTAAGCGTCCTTTCGATTTAGTCCATTCTGATGTATGGGGTCCGGCCCCTTTCGCTTCGAAAGGTGGTCATAAATACTATATTATTTTCATCGATGATTTCTCTCGTTACACATGGCTTTATTTCATGACTTCTCGTTCTGAGGTGTTGTCTATTTATAAGCGTTTTGCTGCCATGGTTCATACTCAGTTCTCTTCACCCATTCGTATTCTTCGTCGCTACCCCCTGATTCTACCTTGCCGATTCCTCCTTTTATTATTCCATCTCTTCCTCAGCATTACACTCGTCGTCCACGACCAGTCGATGCCTCTGTGGATGGGTCGTCATCTTCCTCTCAGCCTACTTATGGCTTGTGTTCTCGTCCTCGTCCGCCTGTTGATCGCTTTGGATTTCCCACCGCTGGTGCTGCTGTTCTTGAGCCGACTTCTTATCGTCAGGCTGTTGTTCATCCTGAATGGCAGTTTGCGATGGCAGAGGAGATTGCTGCTCT